AACAAAACAATGGAATTGTCATGCAATGGTCGTCCAATAAGTGCTATTCGTTTCGCCAATTTTGGTGAAACGGAAGGAAGTTGTGGATCGTTTGGCAAGGGAAGTTGTTCAAGTGAGCAAGATGTTGTTTCTGTTGTTGAAAAAGAATGTATTGGAAAGGAGAAATGCTTAGTTCAAGCATCTGAGAGTGTGTTTGGAACGACCAATTGTGGTAATAATGACAAGAGACTTATTGTGGAGGCTGTGTGCTAGCTAGTTAAGCTAGACTTGCACATTGTTGATAATGTTGCTATATTATGTTTTCTATCTAGTTACGTTTTTGTTAAATAGTTCGTTTTAGGTTTCATTTTCTGTCGTGTCAAACTCTTATTGGTATAATATAGTAATTAACTTTAGATTTGAAATTTTTGATCTCAATGTTTTCATTTGAGCCCTTTTCCAAAACTTATTTGGAGGATTTTATTTTATCCAATTTATGGCGATTGTTAAATTTCAATGTAAAAATGTTGGAGTAGGTTGGTCCTTAGTCTAATAGTCCGAGTCACATTTGTCTGCTTTGTAACTTGATCGAAGTCAAAGTTGATATAATAAGGTGGATGGCGTCAAATTTTTTACATTTGACTTGAGAAGACTGGAATACGAGTGTGTTTTTCAGATGTGCCCCTAGTATGTCATTGGCCTGTTGATGTGGGCGTTTTGAGCTTTGTGTGGGAATGTAAGTTTTTCTTTCGGTTGACTAAAGTGTCCTCCACTATGGCAGCAAATTTAGACGGAAACATAATTTGTTCAATTTGTTTAAATTTTGGTTATGAACTGCCTATTTTATTAGCTCAATTCATATTAATGCAACCAATCCATTACAGCGTAAACGTGCCTTATTTTGGCCGTGCGTTTTGTTTTGCACAAAAGTCAATTCAGTGTTTTAAAAGGGTGTAAGAAATATAACACTGCCCTTTAATAATATTTAAAACAAGTGTTTTTGCTTTAAATTCCCACAATTTCATTGTTTACCAATTTTAATACATCTATTTTTTTATCAGAAAAGGGTCATATTTGCCCTTCTACTCTTAGAAAAGAGTTATATTTATCCCTCATCATACTTTTTTGATATATTTGTCCTTACCATCCAACTATGAGTTCATATTTGCCCTTGGAGAGTTAACTCTCATCTTCCTGTCCTATTATCTATGTGGCACTCACGTGTATTTATTTTTAATTCAATTAAAATTTCCTTTCAAAATAATTCTTTCTTCTCCCCGCTTCTACTTTTCTAACAAGTAGCGTTATTAAGCAAAGTTCTTTTGCCAGTTTTAGCACCAGTTCAAGATGCTGCTAACTTGATTGAGGATCTCGTTGACAAGAAATTTTAAGAGAAAGTTGAGATGTAGAAAAAAATGTTTTATGTTTAAATTTGATCTGATCTTTTTTTCTTTGCGCAGAATTCTGGATTCTGGGTGTGTTTATCTTTGATCTTTTAAAGATCAGATAATCTCTGGTACTTTAATAAGTGACTATTCTGATTATTTGAAATGATTGTTTAAATGTAATAATTGAAATAAAAATAGATTTACATGAGTGCCACATAGATAATAGGGGTAGAAAAATGAGAGTTAACTCTCCAAGTATGACGAGGGGTAACTATAACCCTTTTCTAAAAGTACAAGGGTAGAAAAATGAGAGTTAACTCTCCAAGTATGATGAGGAGTAACTATAACCTTTCTCTAAGGGCTCGTTTGGTGTGAGGGATTAGAAATAATAGTGATGGGATAAGAAAATAGTGATGGGATAAAAAAAAATTATGTTGTTTGGTTGGCAAGTCCGGGATAACTTATCCCGGGTTTAATAATTAGTACCGGGATAAGTTATCCCTCCCCATAGGTGGTATAGTAATCCCGGGATAACTTATCCCGAGATAAAATAGGTAAATGACAAATATGTCCCTTTAAATCCTTTTTATACATCATTTTTTACATTTATGTATATTTACATTTTTTTTAATACCATGTATAATAATATTTACTACTCCTTATTTTTATGATAA